TTTTTTGCCGTTCCCAGAGACCCTAGTTTTTCAATATTTCCGTCTCCAGTGCATCGTACCAGAATACCATAAAATAGTACAGAAGGCAGAATATATAATGAGGGGGGCTGCAGTACCCCCCCCCCCCGGATTCATCTCCTTGACTATAAATATAATAATGTTGCCTCCTTGGTTCTCTGCAGGAAATTTATTTTCTTCAAAATAGTGCCACGGCAGTGCCGTGCTGCCGTGGCGGCCACTACGGCCCTGATTTCGTTTCAGAGCATCACAAGTTTGTTACCATGCCAGATTTACATTTTTGTCGTTCCGCGAGACCTAGTTTTTAATATTTCCAAGTGTTGACTCAAGTGTTACATTTTCATGTTAGCAGAATGGTTAGCTATAGTTTTTTGCCCATTTAGTTGAAGTTTTTTTTTTTTTTATTAGTAATTCTTAATTAAAGACTGAAAGCTACATTAATGGATGGTTGGTTAACTAGCCTACTTCTGAAGTTTTGGCTTGCCGTGTGTGTGTGTCTGCGTGCGGTCGCCGACGCATGCGGCCGTTGCGGCGTGCTCGTGCGTGCGTGCGCTGGTGCTGTGTGTGTGTGCGTGTGCGCGCGTGCCGCCGCTGCCTCGCGCGTGCGCGTGGCGGGTGGCTTTGTTTGGTGTTGTGCGGCGTGCGTGCGTCGCTGCCCCGGCCTGCGCTGTCTGGGCGTCATGTATTTTCTCTCTTGTACCTTACAACTCCCGTTACCCTACCTTGTACCTGCGACTGTTCATCAGTGCTACCGTACAGCCTATAATTTTCACAAGCAAACACTAGACAGGGGCCACTCAAAAAGACGTGCATACCTCCGCCGAAGCGTGTAACATCGTGTATACATGTGGATAACCCAAGCTGGCGCTCGCCTTGCTTCGTGTGCCTGCTGCCGGACGGTCTAAGGCCGACTTCTGCCAACTGGCAGCGCTAAGGCGAGGCTGGGAGCTGATCGACTAACGCGCTGCTGCTGCTGGCCTACGACACACACACGAACATCACACGGGGAGTCACATTACCTCCCTGCATCACAACATCCGTTGCGGAGAGGTAATCACAGTTCCCCCACAGTTCCGGAGTCTGTTATGTCCAGTTCCATATAGCAGTGCATTTCAACGAAATCCTAGTTCTTGGATACCCCATTGCGAACAGAGTCAGTTCCAGAGCATACCACATTCAACAAACAGTCAGTCTCCAGAACCCCCATTTTCAGCGTTGAGTAGTCCAGAGCCCGCCCATTTTTGACTTCGCAGTGGCACATACCTACCATAATGCGGGGTCGTCCTCCCCCCCCCGGGCATATTTTGCCACACTAGTCTTATTCAGAGTATAGTGACTGTATATATCACACCCGCGTACCCATACACCCACACAAACACACACAGCGCATGCATGAAAACATGTACGTGCTACATTTTAGCGCGCGTAGCACAAGTTTACATCAAGCCGTCAGTTTGTGGGGCAATACGATCGTCAAGTTTATGTCCCATTAAGACCCGTGGCCACTGCCAGCTAGGTTTATAGCGTGTTTGTTTTTATTCAGTGCTTCTCTCTGTCGGATAGTAACGTTGAGCGTAAATGCCTGGTTCATTGAAAGACTGGTACCACGTACGCGCAGCAAGGGAAGCCTCTGCGTGCACGCTCGGTCTGCAGCCAGTCATGGCTTCTGCGGGTAGTGTCTCGCCTGTTTCCCATTTTCTGCTTGTATCAGAATGAAAACCAGCGCTCTTGCATTTTGCCACGAAGCCATTAGCTCTAACGGCAGTTGACCATTGTCACGCTGTGGTACTTGTGTACATACCGGGAGTAAATAATCCCACCTCACGATTATTTACTCCTGGTACATGCATACCTACGAGCATTACTGTGAATCCGGTGTGTATACTGCTTGTTTCAACATGCGAGATGTTTGTTGATTGTGAACAGCTAGCTGAAGCCTGCAATTAAGGGTAGCAGAGCACCCATGCAGTAGACTTGAATCTGTGACTGTGATCACGATTGGTACAGCATTATGATTCGCATGTTAGACGCCTGGATGGCAATACGTTGCACACTCGTACGCCAATGAGAATGAGAAAGATGCGGAGAGAAAACTTGGCTATATCGTCTTTGTCTCTCTGCCTTTCCTTCTGGTCTTCTGGTCCAATCGCCTGGCGAACAACGAGAGAATGTTCTATATCTTCTATCCGGCTCTATTGGCCTATATACCAGTTGGAGTGAGTATGTTCCCCCTCGCCTAGATAGCAGTGATAGTAGCTATATTTTTCCCCATGCCTAAAGAGCAGTGGGACGACGTATATTCCCTTTTACATATAGATCAAGAGTAGATAATAGGGAATTTTCTATTCTCTACTCCTGATATAGATCATAGGAGTAGGTATATTCCCCTCGGGTAAAGAGCGGCGGGTGTGGGTATATTCCTGGATCCCTCTCACGTATAGATCAGAGGGAGTTAATATAATTCCCCCTCGCGTAGAGAACATTGGAAGTGGGTATATATTCCCTTTCGCGTACATAGTAGTGAGTGTAGCAGGTATATATCGTTCCTCCCCATCACACCAGCCATCTGCACACTGTTACCACGTGGCAGTTATTGCCGCAGCAGACGTGTGGCTGCAGCACAGTATCGGCGGGGTGAGGGGGCTGGTGATAGGCACTGATGTATGGGAGGGGATGTGTCAAAATTCAAACGTTCAATTGATCGAT